TTTGAAAGATTTGACATCCTATTTGTGTACTCTGATATATTTAGTATATTTTATTATAATTACTCTTTTAGGGGAAATGGGGTGTTACAATTGGTATTAGAGAAGGTCGATTCGTCCGGCCAGGTTGTTGAGTCAGTAGTATAGTGTGACGGTCGAATACTGCTGATGTGTTTCTTCTAACCATTGTTTGATGTTATGGTGTGAAACAGAGAAATGGATGGAAGAAACAATACTGCTCTTGTTGTTTCTTTGTAAACTATGGCTCAGGATGTGCAACATCAGCCTAATGCTGGTGGGAATGACGGGTCTCGTGTTTTGGAGACATTCCATAGGAACCATCCACCTACATTCAAGGGTAGGTATGATCCTGATAGAACACAAACTTGGCTCAAAGAGATCGAAAGGATCTTTCGTGTTATGGACTGTTCTGAGGCACATAAGGTGCGATTCAGTACACATATGTTGGTAGGAGAAGCTGATGACTGGTGGATCACCACTCGTCAATGGCTGGAGGGTGAAGGTGAAGAGATTACTTGGGCTGTGTTCAGGGGTGAGTTTCTAAGAAAGTATTTTCCTGAAGATGTCCGCGCGAAGAAAGAAATTGAACTTTTGGAATTGAAACAGGGAGATTTTTCAGTGACTGAGTATGCTGCTAAGTTTGTGGAACTAGAAAACTTCTACCCTTACTACAACGACAGGACTGCTGAACTCTCAAAGTGCATTATGTTTGAAAATGGCTTGCTTCCAGAAATCAAGCGAGCTATTGGATATCAGCAGATTCGTAAATTTCCAGATTTGGTGAATAGCTGCAGAATTTATGAGGAGGATAATAAGGCTCATTATAAGATCATAAATGATAGGAGAGGCAAACAAAAACAGAACTGTGGGAAGCCTTACCATGCTCCTGCTAACAAAGGAAAACAGAGATTTATTGATGGTAAGATGATAAGTAGGGGGAGGTTCTCCTATTGATGTCATATGTTTCAGATGTGGAAAAACAGGTCATCAAAGCAATATGTGTATTGTGGAAGTGAATAGGTGTTTCTATTATGGTAAAGTTGGGCATGAGATAGCTGATTGTAGACACAAAGTGGTGATATGCTTTAACTTCGGCGAAGAAGGATATATCAGTACTCATTGTCAAAAATTGGAGAAAGCTCAATTCGGTGGGAAGGTGTTTGCTTTTGCCGGAACTCATACATCCAATAAAGATCGTCTAATCAGAGGTATATGTTTCATTAATTGTGATCCTTTAATTACTATTATTGATACTGGTGCTACCTATTGTTTTATTGTTGTTGATTGTATAAAAAAGTTGGGTCTTACATTGTCTTCTATGAATGGGGAGATGGTTGTCGATACTTCAGCTAAGGGATCAGTGACTACTTCTCTTGTATGTTCAAAGTGTCCTTTGTCAGTCTTTGTCAGACACTTTGTTGTGGATTTAGTTTGATTACCATTGAGTGGTCTGGACATGATTCTAGGCATGAATTGGTTGGAATAAAATTATGTTCATATTAACTGTTACAACAAATATGTGTGGTTTTCTACTCCGGATGAGGAAAGGGAAGTTGGATTCTTATCTGCCAGACAGTTGAATGAATTGGTGCAGATGAAGCCCATGTGTTTTCTTTGATGGCGTCCCTGTCTATTAAGAATTAAGCTGCAATTGAAGAGTTGCAGGTAGTGTGTGATTTTCCTAAAGTTTTCCCAGATGATATTCTAGATGTGCCGCCAGAGAGAGAAATGGAGTTTTCTATTGGTTTTGTTCCTGGTACCAACCCTGTTTCTATGGAACCCTACATTATGTCGGCATCTAAATTAGCATAATTGAAGAATAAATTAGAAGACTTGCTTGAAAATAAATTTGTGAGACCAAGTGTATTGCCTTGGGGAGCTCCAATGTTGCTAGTGAAAAAGAAGGACGATAGTATGAGACTGTGTTTATTACCGACAATTAAATAAAGTAAAAATTAAAAATAAGTATCCACTTTCGAGAATAGATGACTTGATGGATCAATTGGTGTGTGCACATGTATTTAGCAAGATTGACTTGAGATCAGGCTATCACCATATTCGAGTCAAAGATGACGATATTCAGAAGACGGCTTTCAGAACTCGATATGGACATTATGAGTATTCAGTGATACCTTTCGGTGTTACCAATGCACTGGGAGTGTTTATGAAGTATATGCACCGTATCTTTCACACTTACTTGGATTGGTTCGTAGTTGTATTCATTGATGATATTTTGATATATTCCTAATCAGAGGAAGAACATGATGAGCATTTGCGAATTGTATTGCAAGTGTTGAAAGAGAAGAAGTTATATGTGAAATTGTCAAAGTGTGAGTTTTGGTTAGAGAGAGTTAGTTTTCTTGGTCATGTTATTTCATGCGGTGGTATTGCTATAGATCCATCCAAAGTAGATGCAGTATTGCAGTGGGAGACTCCAAATTCAGTTACATAAATTAGAAGCTTTTTATGCTTGGCTGGTTATTATAGAAGATTCTTTGAAGGATTTTCTAAGTTAGCACTTCCGTTGACTCAGCTGACTTGTAAAGGAAGAAAGTTTGTGTGGGATATCTAGTGTGAGGAAAGTTTTACTGAGCTAAAGAAGAAATTGACGACGACTCTGATTTTTATATTACCTAATCCTGAAGAATCATTTGTTGTATATTTTGATGCTTCTAAATTGGGTTTAGGTGGTGTGCTTATGCAGAATGATAAAGTTGTAGCTTATGCACCGAGGCAATTAAGGACTCATGAAAGGAATTACCCTACTCATGATCTAGAATTTTCTCCAGTGGTTTGTACTAAAGATTTGGAGACATTATCCTTACAGCTCCAGGTTTGAAGTATTTAGTAATCACAAGAGCTTGAAATATTTGTTCTACCAAAAAGAATTAAATATAAGACAACGAAGATGGCTAGAACTGCTGAAGGATTACGATTTTGGCTTAAATTACCACCCGTGTAAAGCTAATGTTGTGGCAGATGCTTTAAGTCAGAAATTGTTAAATATGTCAGTTATGATGGTTAGATAATTAGAATTGATCGAGAAATTCATAGAAATGAGTTTAGTTTGTGAGTTTACACCACAAAGTGTGATATTGGGTATGTTAAAAATTAACAGTGATTTCTCGAATAATATTAAAGAGGCTCAGAAGTTGGATGTAAAAATAGTAGATTTGATGGCTAGGAGTAATCAAGCTGAAGATAGCGATTTTAAAGTTGACGAACAAGGTGTATTGAGATTCTGTAATAGGATTTATATTCCTAGTGATTCCAAGATGAAGAAGATGATTCTGGAAGAAATCCCCAGAAGCAATTTGAGTATTCACCCAGGTGCGACTAAGATGTATCAAGATTTGAAGAAGTTATTTTGGTGGTCCGGATTGAACGAGATGTGGCACAATTTATGTATGCATGTTTAACTTGCCAGAAGTCGAAAGTCGAACATCAGTGACTTACGGGGTTGTTGAAATCGTTAGATGTTCCTGAGTGGAAATGAGATAATATATCGATGGACTTTGTGACAGGGCTATCAAGTACTCCAAGGGGACATGATACGATTTGGGTGATTGTTGATAGGTGTAATACCCCAAAATTTGTTCGTCCCTAGTGCTACCATCAAATTTATTTTCGAACTTGGGTTTTAAAATTCCTTTGGTTTAACTACATTAATATTTTGGGGTTTTATATATATTCGTTCTCAAGTCCAGTTAAAAATATAATAATTTATTTCAAATTATTTGTATTTTTAAATATCAAATACTTGATCGTCTTCATGTATTTTCAATTGGCTCTTTAATTTTAATAAGTAACATATCACAGTTGATAAATAATGAAGCTTGCAAATATGAGATCGTGAGTTAGAATCTTTTATGGTGCAATTTTTAACATTTTTTCTATTTCTTTTTGTTACTAATTTTCTTTCCTTTTTTAGAAATCGGGCTTAGGCTTTTCATACATTTTGGATAACTTAGTATCTAAGTTTTTTCTAACCTAATTCAAGTCTATAAATAGGACTCTTATTTATCCTTAAAATTCATCAATAATTCATCAAGCTACACAACCACGAATTCTACGATTCTACACATTTCTTTTCAATTTTTTTATTTTTCAATTGGTGTTATGTTTATTCTTGGCCGATGATTAACAAATTAATCGTTAGACAAACATGTGTCTAAATTAATTTAACATGAGACCCCCTCCCTTTTATTTTCAATTTGTTTAAATTTTAGTTGGTTTGCATTTTAAATTATGTGATAAATTATCTGAAAGTATGTCTTTACTAATTTATATTGTTACTAATTATTTTGCATAATAATTTACGTCTCTTATGTCTTACTAATTTCATAATATATTATTATTGCTATCATCAAATCATTTAATTTTATCACTATATTTTGATCTACAATTTTCTTTTTTTTACTGACAAAAAACCAATAATTTACACAATTTGCTATCACCACACTTTGTCATAAACCTGTAAACAAAATTTCAGCATCATATTTTCAATAATAACAACAACACATTCATCATTAATAACCTTTGTAACCTTCAATCATATTTCACAAAGCAATTTGTAATAATCCATCAGCATTATGTATTAAAACCTGCAAATGACAAACTACAAATAACACGAACCATGTTCAAATTTTCCAATACAAACCAACATAACACTTAACATTAACAATTAGTACAGAGGTTTTTTTTCTTCTTTTTTTAGAAAAAATGAAAGGAAGAAGAAAGTGGAAATTGCTCCACCGTCAACTTGCAACGCGTTCTCCTCATTCATCAACACTGCCTAGCTTCAAGCTTCATCTTCCATTCTCCGACATTCAAAATCCTCAGCTCCAATGTTATACAACACAATTACAATTTCGAAAACTTTAATCTAACAAAACCATTAACAATTATTGTACAAGATCGTTGTTGTTCTTTGCATAAAAAATGAAAAAAGAAGGAGAAGTGAAAACACGTCGATCCTGTTGTCAAGAGCTCCCACACAACATGTTCGTAGATCCGACGTCAGCCGCACAACCATCGCCCATGTACATGACCACCCTCCGGGTGAAACTGCACCGCGAATTCGAGTCTTCCCTCCGCCGCGATTCCAACAATGTTAACAGCCTGACCACAAGCTTCGCCGCTGTCAACAAATTGACCCGCATGACGTCCTCACAGATCCACTTCCACCGTCGTAAATCCTCCGCCTGAACCAACTCAAATAAAGAACGAATCGAAGCCGTCCCCCTCACACCGGAATCACACCTTCCAACCGCTCGCGGAAAAACGCTTCTCAAAAGCGTTCGCCAACAAAAAACTCTGCCCAAAGCCAACAATCGCCATCTGCATTCAACACTAACGCAACTGAGAAAATTGAAAGATTATTTGGATATAGGATTTTTTTAAAAACAAAGGAAGAATGAGGAAGAGGGATACATATAAGACATAAATGGTATTTCTTTTTACTGTACCTGTTTTTATAGTTAGTCAATTGGTTCTCATGAACTTCTTCTGAATCGATACTAGTACCGCCACTCATTTCGTGTGTTCATGTGTCGTTTTTTTCCCTTTTTTATAACAATTCAACTTAGAATTAAGGTTAATTATATTTGGGCTTTTGGGCCTCATTTTTTACTAACTTCCCCCTCACCTCTCTTACACCTTGAACCCCCATAGGTTCTTAGATGTTTAATTTTTTTTATTAATTAATTTTAATTAACTTTTATTATTTTAATTTAATTAATTAATTATATTAGTTTATTAAATTAGATAATTTTCTTTCATTAATTAACTTATCCGGAATTGTTCGGATAAGGAATTTTCGAGGACGAAAATATTGTGAGAGAGTTGTAACGCTCCATTTTAATATTTAGTTATTGTTTGTTGATTTTGAATTATTTTGGCATAACTAAGGGTATGTAGGCATGGCTAAGGGTATGTGAGAACTTAGTTCTAATTAAATAATTATAATAAAACTTAGCCTATGGTGTAATAATAATAATAATAATATTGGTGAATGATGAAAAATACTATTATTATTAATAATAAAAATAATATTGTTAGATATATAGTATAATTACCACTAATATTATTATTATTATTATTATTTTTTTTATTATTAATATAGTTATTATTATTATAATTATTCCATTATTATTATTATTATTATTATTATTATTTGTTATTAAGAATAAACATAATTATTAGAGAGAGTGGTATAAGAGAATTGGGAAAAATTGTTGTCACGTAGAAACAAAGAAGAGAAGAGAAGGAAGAACTAGGGTAAGAGAGAATTCCACTATTGTTAAAGGATCAAAGCTAAAAACTAAGATAAGAGGGAGAATGAATTATCTAAAGGGTGACTATTACATGAGAGGGTAGTGAGGGTTCCTTCCCCTTTTTAGGTTTTATATGTGATTGATTGTATGTACTTCTTTGAGTTTCATTGATGTTGTCTCTATGTGAGTCTATGATAAATTTTGGATTGATTGATGCTAATGATGTGATTGTTATTGATAATTATTGTTGTTGTGGTATTATTCCATGAAAACCCCAATCTGGAAATTATGGGTTCATGAAAATGAAGAAAAATGACGTTTTGATGTATAAATCTGATATAGAATGATAGATTAATGAAATTTATTTAAATCTATAATTCATCATGTGTAAAAATATTGTTTTGGATCCAATTTAGGAGGTTGAAAGTGTGAAAAACAAGCAGAAATTGTATTGGTGCGAAATAAGGTTTTTGGATCAGTAGACTGGTTATACACGTATGAAGGAGGCCATACTCGTATGGGGGACACGCCCATGGGTTGTATGTGTATAGTGTGTGCCCTGTTCCCAAGCCAGCATCACCTTCTACTAGAACGCATATGATACGCGTATGAGAGGAAGGTCATACGCGTATGGGCTAGCCATTATGCGTATGGAAGGTCTTGGAGAGGTTTGGAGGGAAATATCCCTCTGGTGGTACGCGTATGATACACATATGAGGTCTGGAAGTTGGGCCTTACACGTATGATAAGAAGGGATTAGGGTCAAGGAAGAGGCCATACGCGTATGGGGCAAGGCCATATGTGTATGAGTAGACTAATGTGCATAATTTCCCGTTTTCGCAATTTCTTTTCCCGTTTTCGCATGCGGTGTAGTTTCTTTTGGCCCATAATGACTAGTGTGACTCAGGAAGATATAGGGAGGCTAGTAATAATGGAAAATGGGTTAAAACTTGGAACTTTGTGTGACTTTTGTATGTTATGTGAAGGAATATGGATGAATTGCATAATATATTGCATGACGATGATGATGTCGCTGGCCTGTATTGGCGTAATGTTGTGGGCTCATGCCCTGTGGTTTCATAATTATGTTGATTAATTTTGGTGTTCCATGTATGCATTGGAGAGGGCTTATGCCCTGTTGTTGGCTTATAATGGTGTTATGTTGAAGGCTTATGCCCTGTTGCTGCCCTATCAGGCATTATGGAAAGGGTTTATGCCTTATTGATACCACGTGCATTTAGTCGGTGTTGGTCTCATTGCATTGCATTATTATTGATTTGATGTTGTGTTATGTAGATGATGTTTGTGATGTGAATTAGTGAATGAATGGTGTGAATTACTACTCATTATCATGTGATATTCATTGTATATTTATTGTATGTAATTCTCACCCCTTTTCTATTATTGTGTATGTGCTCCTTTGAAAGTACAAATAATCAGGTATCTGAGTAATGCTTGGAGTGAGTGTTATTTGATCGAGACTTAGGAGTCACTCTGATACGTAATAGAGGATTCAGGAGTTGTTATGTTTTGCATTATTTTAATTTTTACATATCTTATTTCATACTTATGTTGGACCATGCAATTATTTGGAGTTTTTATTATTGTTGAGGCCGTAGCGCCATGGAAATGAATTAATTTAATCTTTTCACTCTTAAGTTGATTTTTATGAGAAATGAAGTAATAAAGTGACTTGAAACTTTATGAGTTTTTGAAAGATGTGACATCCTACTTGTGTACTCTGATATAATTCGTATATTTTATTATAATTACTCTTTTGGGGAAAGTGGGGTTTTACATTTGTGAAGGTCTTATTAAGCATGTTAGTATCATGCCATCCAACCACCTATTGGTGTTCCGTTTTTGTGTTATTTTGAGTGTTTAGAAGAAAGATGATTTTACAGGTGATGGTGATATTGATGCTTCCCCTAAGTATGTTGTCCTTGAGTTACATGTTTGTTTTGGGAAACATGTTATTATCGTTGTGATACCCATTTTTTCTTTAGTTGATGAAACTGGTCTGATTTTTATTTAAGAAATGCTATATGTTTATTATCTTTTAGGTCCTAAGAGAATTCATATCATCAAGGAATTTATTCATGAAGGAAAGGATTTTCAAAAGATCATAATCATTACTTTTGCATGAAAGAATGTGTGTTAAGTTTATCTCAAAATGTGGAGTTTCAAATCTGCTAGAGCTTTTCGTTATCTTAACCTATTGTGTTAGGTGAGAATATGGAGTAAGAAAATAGTCTAGAGGGGTTGGATAAACTAAAATAAGTTCAACTGATTTTCAAAAATGGACTATCAGAGGTTTATTAGAGTTTGCACATGAAAGATTTTGAGCGAAAATATGAGAATTATACTTGAATTGAAATTTGATCATGTTAACACTTAATCACTTCATAAATACCAAAGATGGTTTAATGATGATACACAAAGGTATCCAATTGATTCATTTGTATACTACATGATATGTGTTTATTCAACGGTTCAATTTCAATGAATTCTAAACTCAAAAGTTTCTTAGAATTTAACCACCGCTAAAGCTCGATTAGGTTCCAATTTTGACAAAAGCTACCCTTATGTAATAAATCCCTACCAATTGAATAAATGATAAACTAGTCTAATAATTGAAAACATTAGCATGCAATATCCTACAAAAAATAAATGCAAGATTAAGAGAGAGAGAGAGAGAGAGAGAGAGAGAGAGAGAGAGAGAGAGAGAGAGAGAGAGAGATACACACACACACACACAGAGAAAGAGAGAGAGAGAGAGAGAGAGAGAGAGAGAGAGAGAGAGAGAGAGAGAGAGAGAGAGAGAGTGAAGTTAGTGTGATTTATAGTGCTTCATTGTTCGTTCTCTATGAGCACTCTTCAACTGATTCCCATTGGAACCTATATTATTCCTTTTTATTTTGACAAATATTGAAAGAGTTGATACAATCATTAATCCACAAAAATGTTAAAGAAAATAAATCTTCTATATGAATCTTAACTTGTACACATCGTAATGCCAAACTCTAATGTGTAATCTTAACTCAATTAATGCTTCTTAAATATTCCAATTTCACCAATAAACTCTAAGCCTTCATGTATAGAAATCACCCCTTGATCCTATTGGTTCCTTGAGCAATGAATTTTTTGAAGATTTGAGAAAACTCTACCTTATCCGTAGCCTTCCACATAGTTACTATCAAGGTAATCTAGAGATAAGAACCTCCTTCTTTTTACTGGAATTTGTCAGAACTAATGACAACAACCTCAAACTTGAAACCTAAATTTTTTTACCAAATATTAAAAAATTATTTGTTTTAAGACGACGTCTCCCTCATTCAATTATAAATCTCTTCTTATCAAGATCTGAAATCATTACCAAGGTCAAAGAATAAAGAAATTTGACTGCAAGGGTTTTGAAGGTTTCAAAAGTGAGAGGAAGTCGGTTTCACAGAAAATCACAAAATTGATTATGAGATTCTTTAAATTTGTGTTTGGAAAATGATGACACAATGATTTTATATGTGCTTGAGATTAAGAACAAAAATGAGTGGAAAAAGTTAGTTAGATTCAAATTAAGAACATTTCATGGTTTGAGTGAAATGAGCAAGTGAAGTGGAATACGAAGGAAAAATATTTTTGACCCGTTTCTCGTCTGATTCGAATAAAGAAAAAAGTATGATTTGAATCAAAGACCATGTGATTCGAATCAAGTGCAAATCCTTATTCAAATCAATTGCAACAAGTCCAAATGGAAAATGCTAAAAAAAACTGTTTGATTCGAATCAAGTGTGAAGTCTGATTCGAATCAAATAAAAAAGAGGTGACCAGAAAATGCTTGATTTGAATCAGGTATAAATTATGATTCAAATTAAAGTGTTTAAAAATATATGGTTTGCGTTTGTTCAATTTGATTTGAATCAGGATGTGTGCATCATTCGAATCAAACACACAAAATCTCATTTGTTCATAGTTGACAAAACACTTTGAGATTTTTCTTTGCCCCTATCTCGAATCAAAAATACATATGCTTCTTATTCCACTTACTCATGAAATTAACTAAAATCATCATGCTCAATTTCAAATATAAATATTTACTTATGCATTCTAAAACGAATAACGAATTGATTAGAACTTGATTCAGAGATGTGCAATCATGAAGGTGACTCAATAAATGAAAGAGAAAAGACAAGCAACAACATAATTGTTGGGGTGATCCCCATGAATGTGTTAAGGACATGCAACTACATATTGTACCTTGTTT